TCCCGCTCACTGGCTGAGCGAGGGGTGGGAGCAACACCAAGGGTTGCGATCCCGTTGCCGGTCCCGGTCCGGTACGGGCGCGACACTGAGGGTTGTGATCCGTTGCTGGACACGAAAAAAGACGAAAAAAAAGGAAAAAAAGAAAAAAGAAAACTGTTGGGTGGCCCTTAATGTGAGAAATGGTGTTTTATCATGCTAATAAAACTGGCCATGCTTTCCTATGGGGCTCCTGTGTTCATGCTTTCTCAAAGAGTCTAGAGAAAAGCAGAGTGAGGGGCAGGATTAGTAACCCAGACCCCACCTTGCACCACTCCTGGGTACACTGACTCCAGGGTGACAGTGGGGAAGGAAGAGAGGATGAAGGCAGACAAGGGGGATATGGGTCTGCACCTGGGTTTCCGAAGCTGACCAAGGAGGTGCGTTCTCAGAGCTGGATCCTCAATGCTGTAGTTGACCGTCCAGTAGACACAGAGCTGCTGATGCTGCTGGACAAGCCTCAGGATGGTCCGGAGGCCTTGGGCCATGTTGAAACGGTCCTTCCTGCAGCCCTGCTCCCAGGCAAAGATGGTCAGGAGTTCCAGGGCATAAACTGGGGGCAGAGAGGCACAGGCTGGCCGATCTCCTTTGTCCTGAGCTGCAACCTATGTCACCCAGGGCCAACCAAAGATTAATGAATGTGAGTACCTACTGTGTGCCAAGCATGGCCCTAAGCACTTTGGGAAGGTGGAGAATATGTAAAATAGGACCACAGAAAGAGTAGAACCTCGGAGACAGTCTGGCTGATGCTTCCCACTTTACAGGTGGGTAAACTGAGGTCCAGAAGAGGGTAGTGACTTGTCCAAGGACACACAGTGAGACTGAGAGCTCAGACTTGGCCTTTGCCTGGAGTCTCCCCTCAAGGAATATATGAGGTGGTTGTACAGGAATGGGGGTTGCAATGTATCCATCTTGGTATTCCAACACCCATCATGACAGTTAGCAACAGTGGTGCTCAATAGATGTGTGCTGAATACATGAGTGAGTGAATGTGGGTTGAAATTCAGAGAAGTGTTTACTAAGGGAGCTCTGAAGGATACTCAGGGTTTAGCACAACTTGCAAAGAAGGTGGTAATGGGGGGACCCACTTAAGCAAAGGCTTGGAGGTGGGAAAGACGAGAAATATTAGCAGAGAGAGGAGAGAGGACAAACAGATGGGCTAAAGGGGGATGGTGAACCCCAGCTACAAGAAAGGAGGACTTTGGACTTGAGGGAGAAGAGATTCTATCAGTGGCTTCCAGATGTGGGCATGCGATGGAGGATGGAGGAGATGGTCCCTCACTTGAGATGGTCAGTAAGAAAGAGAGGAGGGGAAATGTCTGTGTAGGGGAGCAGTGATTGGCTGAGGCAGTTGCCATGGCAGCAGCTGCTTCCAGGAGGAGCAAGGGAGTACTCAAGGCCTCACCTGGAGGTACCAGTGCTTCACTAGCAGGATCAGGTTCTTCAGCTTGGCTGGGCGAGTGTTCACGAAGTTCCTCCGCAGCTCTGCAAAGCAGGCCTGGTACTCACCCTCCTGGCAGCCACTGTCAAGGAGGGTCGAGTAGACCTGGGGCTTAGGTTTGGTGCCAGAATTGAGCTGCCCTGTGGAAGTTTGAAACACTCTGAGTGTGCAACTCTAATTGAAGACAGCAGCATTTCCCAACCCATCTATTCACCAGTCTTTATGAATATTTTAACATTAATTAGTAACATTGCAATTAATAATATGCTATAACATTGAATAACAGACTATCAATCTTTTTAGCATCAATTATGTACTGGTTGCTTTTCGATAATTTTCACTAATCCATCCAATAACTCTGCAAGGTGGATCATCTTGACCCCAGAAAAGCTGTGTAGCATAGTGGTTAAGGGAATGAACTTTGAAGACAGACAGGCTTGGGTTCAAATCCAAGCTGTGTGATTTTTGCCTCTTCGTCTCTCAGTTTCCTTATCTGTAAAAGGGGGATTATAAATAGCATTTACCCTTGGAAGGATATTGTAAGAATCATGAAATCTAAATGTGCTCAATAAGCATCAACTATTGCTATTATTGTCATCTCCCAGAAGAAAAAAACAAGGCATAGAGGGGAAAGCTGGAATTGAGTCCCACCCCTTTCTTTCATAATGCTGGCCTCTAGAATAAATGCCTTCTCCATGAAAGGCAAGTAAAAATGGTCACCCACCAGCAGAAAGAGGCCTCAAGAAAGCTTGCTGCTAGGGCTCGGGGGAAAAACAAAAAGTCCCCCACAAGAAACTGAAACCTCAATCCTATACTAGATGGGGGTGTGTAGTCCAAATTTATAGCATCTGCATGGTGAGGAATACCCAGGCTGCTAAATTAATGCCTAACCTGGCCTGGAAATTAGTGAAACTCTCAGTACCCATCTAGAAGCAAACTGAAAACTTGGTCCCTGAGGGATGTTTCTCCAACCGAGAGCACAAAGGACTTCCACAGGAAAAGGAAGTCTTTCACTTTCTTTTACTTTTTTCTTTTTACTTTCTTCCACAAGAAAATAAAAGCTCCACATACCCCAAAGATGAGCTCACAATAAAAAATTATAAACCACACAAAGAAGCGATCCACTATGAGAGAAAGTCAAGTGACACAACAAATAGGAGAATTAGCCTTTCAAGAATTTGAGATAATAAGACAATTTGAGATATTAAATTAAGCATGTTTAAAATTATTAAAGAGAAAAAAGAAACTGAAACCACAACGAGAGAACTGAATCTTATGAACAAATGGTAGGTTGATTTGAAAAAGAGCCAAATAGAACTTCTATAAGTGAAAAATAGTCACTGAAATTTAAAAAAAATTAAGAATAGGCAGCAGACGCATTTGAAGAGTTAGTAAAATGAAGGAAAGATTTGAGCACCTGAGAAACAGGTAGCCTTGANCATTTGAAGAGTTAGTAAAATGAAGGAAAGATTTGAGCACCTGAGAAACAGGTAGCCTTGAGAGGTAAAGAGATGGGAACAATGAGAGAGATAAAAAGATGTGGAGGATGAAGTGAGAAACCATCTTATAGGAGTTCTGGAAGGAGAGAATAGAGAATATAGGGAAGAGGCAACTGAAGGACATCTCCCAAAAACTAAAGGAAGAATTGAGTTCTCAGACTCAGGAGGCACAACAAAGTCCAAACAGGATATATAAAAAGAAATCCATGCACAGGAATATCAAAGAGAAACTGAAGAATATTAT